TGTGGCCATCTTCATCATCCCGACGCTCTCCATGACGAGGAGGGAGTAGTTCACCCTCGGGGCTGAGGGTATGTACCTGTAGCTATGTGTTTGATCTCTCTCTCTCTCTCTCTCTCTCTCTCTCTCGTGTTCTTGATTTGGCACGATCTTGATGTATTGCGAGCTTTGCTATTATAGTTGGATCTTATGTTTCTTCTCCCCCTCTACTCTCTTGTAATGGATTGAGTTTTCCCCTTGAAGTAATCTTATCGGATTGAGTCTTTAAAGATTTGAGAACACTTGAAGTATGTCTTGCCGTGCGTATCTGTGGTGACAATGGGATATCACGTGATTCACTTGGTGTATGTTTTGGTGATCAACTTGCGGGTTCCGCCCCTGAACCTATGCATAGGGGTTGACACACGTTTTCGTCGTGATTCTCCGGTAGAAACTTCGGGGCACTCTTTGAGGTTCTATGTGTTGGTTGAATAGATGAATCTGAGATTGTGTGATGCATATCGTATAATCATACCCACGGATACTTGAGGTGACATTGGAGTATCTAGGTGACATTAGGGTTTTGGTTGATTTGTGTCTTAAGGTGTTATTCTAGTAGGAACTCTAGGGCTGTTTGTGATACTTATAGGAATAGCCCAATGGATTGATTGGAAATAATAACTTTGAGGTGGTTTCGTACCCTACCATAATCTCTTCGTTTGTTCTACTCTATTAGTGACTTTGGAGTGACTCTTTGTTGCATGTTGAGGGATAGTTATGTGATCCAATTATGTTATTATTGTTGAGAGAACTTGCGCTAGTGAAAGTATGAACCCTAGGCCTTGTTTCCTATCATTGCAATACCGTTTATGCTCACTTTTATCAATAGTTACCATGCTGTTTTTATATTTTCAGATTACAAAAACCTATATCTACCATCCATATTGCACTTGTATCACCATCTCTTCGCCGAACTAGTGCACCTATACAATTTACCATTGTATTGGGTGTGTTGGGGACACAAGAGACTCTTTGTTATTTGGTTGCAGGGTTGCTTGAGAGAGACCATCTTCATCCTACGCATCCCACGGATTGATAAACCTTAGGTCATCCACTTGAGGGAAATTTGCTACTGTCCTACAAACCTCTGCACTTGGAGGCCCAACAACGTCTACAAGAAGAAGGTTGCGTAGTAGACATCACTAATACTTGAGAATATTCTTTGGCTCCCCTTGTGTCGAATCAATAAATTTGGGTTGAATACTCTACCCTCGAAAACTGTTGCGATCTCCTATACTTGTGGGTTATCATTCCCCAACAGTAATGTTGGGGGAAAGCAGCAACAGGGCACCCCGAACACCGCAGCCAGTTGAGCAGCCCGCTCCAAGGAAATGTCGATAGGAACAAAAGTGCATTTCTCAAAGTTCAACTCAAGGCCAATGTTTGCAGCAAAGTAGTCCAGGACTTCCTTGAGCCTAGCAACCTGACCGGGGTCAGCCTTGAGCAGGATCAATGTATCATCCGCGTATTGAAGAATGGGGCAGGGAAGGTTAGAGTACAGAGGGTGTTGAAGGCCACCCTCATTGGCAACCGCAAGGACCAGACGTTGCAGCACATCCGCAACAAGGATGAAGAGATAGGGGGAGATTGGGTCCCCCTATCGGAGCCCTTTCTTGCAAACGATCCATCTCCCAGGCACACCATTGAGCACGACTGCAGAGCGACTGGAAGAGTTCAGATCATGCACCCACCGACGCAATCTGCCGGGGAACCCTTTAGCCTTGAGCACACGATCCAGCGCTTCCCACGAGATTGAGTCAAAGGCTTTCCTGAAATCCAACTTAAGTACAACAGTTGGTTGTTTCCGTTTGTGACAGCATTGGACTAGCTCCGCAGCCAAAACAAAATTTTCCGAGATGCATCGCCCCCGCAAGAAACCAGTCTGCTCGGGATGGACAAGGAAGGGGATGAGCGGTTGCAGGCGGGTCATCATCATGCGGGAATGCGGGCAGTTTTGGAGAGAAATGGGGCGGAAGTTAGACGGAGAGGTGGGAGCAGACACCTTGGGAAGGAGAGCAATGTACGCCCTGTTGATCCCTGAGAGATCAGCCTTGTGAGCAAAGAAATCCGCAGCTAGGGCAAACAGATCCTCCGCAAACAGAGCCCAGACATGTTTAAAGAACACGGGGCCAAAACCATCGGGGCCGGGTGCAGTCCCCGCCCGCATCCCGAAGATGGATGCTTTGACCTCCTCCGGCGAAAAAGGGAGCACCAACCTTGCCGCTTGGAAGGAATCCAACCGTGCCTTGTCCATAAATGAGCAAACTATTCCATGAAACATATTTTTTGAAAATGATAAAATAATAATTTTGAAAACAGAGTTTCCATTAGATGCCAAGTTTGTCTCCACTTTTATAAGCAGCATCAGAGGAAAAAAGAGAGTACCGCACATTTGTTTATAGTGAAAATTCCAAAATGGAAATACATAAAAATAAAACAAAATATGCAACAAAATATATGATACGAAATAATTAAAAAAATGTGTAACCATGAAAAGGGAAGAAAATGGATGATTCTTAGAACCCCGGTCCAGTAGAGCCCACGCACACAGAGAAAAGGAAGCCCATTCTGACCAACCCCCAACACGCAGAGGCGGAGCTGCAATTGCAATCCATCGGAGATCTATCCGCCGCCGCCGTCCCCGCCGCCGGCTGCGCCATGCTCCGACTCCGCCTCCGAGAGTGCGTCGTTTCCCGTCTCCTCTCTCCTTCCTCCACCTATGGACCGGCCATCTCCTCTCTCCACCGGCTCCTCTCCGCATCGGCAGCCGCCGGCCCCATTTCTCCGAACCCCGGTGGATTCGCCGTCGAGGACTACCTCATCGACACCTGCGGCCTCACCCGGCCCCAAGCCCTCAAGGCCTCCACCAAGCTCTCCCACCTCAACTCCCCCGCCATCTGATTCATCTGATTCATCTGATTTGCTACTGGATTAGTTCATGGTCTGTTTTACAGAGAAAGCAGGAAAATCTAAATGCATTGACGTGACGTGAGGAGCAAAGCTGATCGAGCACATAGCAAGCGAAATCTTGAGGGCATCTCAGGGTTGGTGTCCGGGCATGCAAAGGCTGAGCATTCTGCCTTGGCTGGTTGATGCCTTTCCTTGATTGACCATAACTAGTACGTATTCTTGAAGTTCTTTCATTTTGTTTTCTTTCCTTGTCTTCAGTTTGGTTAGTTGTCTCTTAACTAATAGTCCCTTTGTTTTTCCTAGTCCCTCCGCACCATAATATATATATATATATATATATGTCGTTTTAGCAGTTGAATTTGGGTTGCTAAAACGGCATATATTATGGTACAGAGGAAGTATTAAATCAAATGGGAGGGGGAGGCCCCTCTTTTATCAAAAAGAAAACTTTGAAGCTGCTGAAGCTTTTCAGTCCTAGTAATGTGAGTTACTGAATTTATGGAAGTCAAGGTTATCTTATATGTCGGTGTTCTCAGGTGCAACTAAATGTACGCAGATGATTTTAGCATAGAGGTAATGTAGATTGAAGGAAGAAGAAGAAGAAAAAAAAACAATCTGCCTGGCTGAATATAAAAAATGCAAGGTGTGTGTGTGTGCAAGATTTATTAGGACGAAACATTTCCAAACTATGCTCGTCATTTGTGGAAGGTTCTGCTGGCCGAGATGTTTATTCATAATGATCTCATTCATAAATAAAAGCAAAGTACTATATCAGGTTTACAATACACAAGGGGAATAGTAATAACCACATTCATCAAGATCCTAAAAAAAAAACCACATTCATCAAGAGAGAAAAGTGACGCGGCGATAACTGAGGCTCATGGATGGAATGCATGGCTACACAACCGTAACAGAGGGATGCCTTGGGTGCAGCCGTGCGGCGCTCTTGAAGGCAGACACGACATCAGCGAGCATGTCTTCCTGATTTTCGCTTGACTCGGCGCTGGTGTACTGGCGAGACAAGCGGATGTCCTGCAGGCAGGGCAGACGCTCCATTCCGACTGGTGTAGCGCCTCTCCACTCTTCCCAGACGAATCCAAGGCTGAGTGTTAGTAGCTTGGGAGTAGCTCCTGCCTCGAAGCTTAGGTACTCAGTGACATCTTCGCTACACAAGAGATAGAAGTACTCCAGAGCTGGGAACAGCCCCGCGCCGACCATGACCTTATCTTGAGAAACATCCAACACGTGGAACCTGGCATCGATGAGGGAGGGAAGCTCTCCAAGAACACGAATCTCATCACTGGACATGTGCATGGCACAAAGATAGAGGATCCGGAGGCAACCTAGCTCACCAATCCATTTGGGAACTCTACTGAAAGCCCATGTTTCCAGATCGAGTACCTCTAGATGGAGAGGAGGATCCGACAATGAGTCTAGCTGGCTGCCATTGTCACCAGATTCGCTCGGGCAGTCGAGGGAGAGGTGTGTCAGGCCTCGGAGCTTTCCAATGGAAGACACTAAAGCATCCACATGGTCAGCCGTCAAGCACTGGCCATAAGGCATGCATAACGTCAATTCCTTTAGATTGGTCAGCCCGCTAAGGCCTTTGATATCCTCCAGGGAACTCATATTCCACATGCCCAAACAATTCAGGGTGCAGACTGATTTCATGTTCTGGATCCCTTGAGGCAGCGCTATACCATATGGAAGTACAAGATGAAACAAGTTGGGCAAGCGAATTATATCCGATGGAAAGCCTTGTGTGGACCGGCAAACTAACTCCAATGTTTCTAAATAAGCAAGCCCTTGAATTTCAGTAGGTAGCATTATGTCTGCTGATCTTGCTGAAACCTTCAAATACCTCAACAGAAATAAATGACCTATTGCAGTGAGGTCGACTGTTGTATGACATTGATATGAAAACTCAAAAAAAGCACACGTACGTACTTAAACTGTGAAAGTGGAGGTGTGCATTTGGACTCCCAAAACCGAGCATATGATCTAACTTGTAACATGCTAGTAGCAAGTGTCTCCGATGTTTCATCACCAACACTTTATTTCAGAGATAATCGACGAACCTTGTACTCGCAACTGTGCAATCTTGCCATGTCTTCATAGTTATATGTTACACTGATAAAATTATCTTTTGCACTTTTGCTGAGGATAAAATCAAGCATCATATCGTGTACTCTACAGGAAATTACCTCCCCACCAAATGTCTCTTTGGGCTGAATCAGACTTCTATTGATAAGCTCATTGAAATAACTTAATGCAACATCATCCAAAGCTACTCCGTGCAAATTACACACAAAGCCTTCGGCTATCCACTGTCGAACCAGGTCATCCCTCATGATCTCACGGTCTTCCATGTACATGCCAAGGTACAAAAAACATGGACGAAGATGAGCAGGAAGATGGATGTAACTAAGGTTCAGTATACCCCTCATCTCTTCGAAGGTGGATTTTGTAGAAATCTTGGCACCAAGGGAACTCACTATACTCTCCCATTCATTCGGTGATCTTGCTTCTTGGCTAGCTAAGATGCTAGCTATGGTGATAATTGCAAGTGGCAATCTGCCACACTTCCTGAGAATTCGAGCTGAAATTTCTTTAAAATGTTCTGGACAGTCATTTTTGGATCCAAATACTCTATTAAAAAATAAATGTCTTGAGTCTTGTTCTTTGAGTGGCTTCATTTTGTAAATGCACGCACGATCATTCTGACACGCCCAGAGAGCTATGTCATCTAATCGTGTGGTTACCATTACTTTGCTTCCATTACCATGTTCTGGAAAGGCACAACTAATAATATTCCATGTTGGTTCATCCCACAAGTCATCAACTAAAACTAAGTACCTGTTGAAATTTTGCATGATTTATCATATGTTAGATCGGTACATGATTATAAGGTAGAGAGAAAAACATGAAAACTAAAATCAAGGAACAAAAATGTAATAAAGATTGATGACACTTGACCTTCAAAATATATGGTTTTTTAGAAATAACTAACTATAATATACTATAACAGTAAGATGCATCTAGAAGTTTAATGTTTGTTCTGCAACTTTGATCCTATGATAGCAATATTTATGAGCTAGCACAACTTCTCCATATCCAGAAGGCCTCAAGAGATTTGACGTTGCCCTGTAAGATCTCCTTAATTATTAGGACTTATGAGTGCACCCTTTTGAAGTTACACCCAACCATGTCAAAAACTTTTAGATGACCTCTATTAAATGACTGTCAATGATACTAGTATATGAATGAGTACTAGAAGAAAAGAAAATACCTCTTATGTTTTAGGTATTCTCTTAGGCGGTCAATGATGTCTTGCAACTCTTGAGCATGAGAAGAATCCTCCATCCCAAGCTTTAATTGTAGGCCAGTCAGAAGACTTTTAACATCAGGTCTTTGAGAGACTGGAACAAATGCCTTGCAGTTAAACTGTCCTCCAATCTCATCATACACTTGCTTGGCAAGCGTAGTTTTACCCAAACCTCCGAACCCCATGATGGAAACCACTTTGAGTTTCTTCTTAGAATCCATCAACAAGCCAACAAGCTCTTCTTTCGAGCCATCAATACCAATGATGCCTTCTCTCTCCCTGTAGATCATTGAAATACGGGGATCCGTAACCACGATGCTAGGACTCGAGTTGATGAACTCATCAATCCTGTACCTCTCACGTCGAGCATTCACCTCCACCACAAGAACCTTGAGCTCCTTGATCCTGCTTGCGATCTGATGACGCCTCCCCAACCTTCTGAGACGCTGAGCCATCTTTCTGATGAAGCCTTTCTTTTCATAGGCGTCTTCAGTATCATGCATGAAGTCATCGATGCAATTCTCCATATCATAGGACATCTCCCTAACATGGTCCCTCCAGTTCTTGGCCGAGGGATTGAGCTTATCCATAAGCTCCATCCTGTCAAGAAGAGCTTTCATGGCGCTTAGCTCATCCTGGAGGAAGGATGCCTGCTTCCTCACACCGGTGAGCCTCCTGTACTCTTCGCCGAGCAGCTTGGTGAGCTTGCCAAGGAGAGGGTTCATCACCCCTGTCGTCGCACTCGCTGCCATCCCGATGGAGCAGATTGGCGAGATAGCTATGTTTGTGTGCAAGGAAAAATTCCTAGAGAGCAATGGCACTATCTATACAACTGCAATCCTGTAAATTTGCTTCTCAAGACAGTAGTACCATATCTTATGTTTCCCTCAAGATTCGCTAGTGCATTTAGTCAACTCAAGACAGACTGTATAGTGCATCGGGGGTTACTCCTACTGCACACTTTGAAAAATTTGTCTAATTGATACTCCCTCCGTAAACTAATATAAGAGCGTTTAGATCACTACTTTAATAATCTAAATGCTCTTATATTAATTTACGGAGGGAGTACTCTAGAGATGCACGCCGAGATTTGAATACTCCAAGTATGCATTAGAAAGCATTCTTCGCATTTGAACGATGCCTTTTGTCTGCTGCCCCCGCTCCTTCATGTTTGACTTCTCGCTCTTCCAAACATAGGATACTGTTGCTCATTAGCAGCTAATTATGCTATGTTTGTGTGGGCAGTACAAGTTAGTAGACAGAGTTATATTCCCTAAGATTTCGATACCTAGTTAACTCAAAGATTACACACGCTCCACTGGGTGAATATGCACACGCCTTACCATTTAGCACATCTATTTCTTAGACTCTTGTCGAAAGCAAATACTCCTAGTGAGAAACACAAAGCGCGCACACTCACCGGCCCCTGCTGAAAATTATAGTACGTCTTGCGTGCAGCTCAAGAACATGCATCACTCTGCTGAAAATTTTGTCAAAGTTTGATTTTAGACAAAGCTAACATGCGGAGTAAATAAAAATATGGAGAGTAAAATACCATTGTTGAGATAAAAAAATCAATCAGGAAATTGTTTTCACCACTTCGTTATAAGTACTTCCAAAAAAAGAAGAAAAGATTGTACTTATTAAAAATTATAAAAATAAAGTAAGTGTACGAAATAGGAAAAAAATGCAAGAAAACATGTTAAAAAAAGGTGAATCAAGAAAGTAAGAGTGAAAATAAAAGACAATAAATAGGAAAACATAAACAGGAATAACCAAGAAAAGAATTAAAAGAACCGAGGTAATATAAGAGAACTAGGAAATTTGACCCATATATTTTTCATGTATTTTGGAATTTGGAGATTCCAGACATAATTTTCAGGTAATTCTGTCCTTTGTTCATCATTATAGTAAGCATTTTGACTCATACATTTTTTCTTACACATCACACGCGATCATGTTCGATGATCTGTGCTAGAATTCATGAAACGCATCTTTATTAAATACACTGTTACTTGAATAATTTACATCATGTTAAAGCATGCATTGCGGTGCACCCATTGTCGGACCAATGTCTGACATCTCAAAAACGAGTCTTTGGTGAACTAAGCCTAGTTTAGATAGTTAGGCTCTTTTGTCAGCCTAACCGGGTTCAAGTCTTTGACTTGACACGAGTGCTCACATATTTTCTGGATTTATTTTAGGCTTGTGCCTTCCAACTACATAATATCAATATTGGCCGGTTTAGTCTACTCATAGAGGTAGGGTTGTGTGCGCGTGTTCATAAGGATGATTGTTAGTTAACTCATAGAGGTAGGATTTTTTTAGATTCATTAAAATTCTTAGAGGTAGGCCTATAGGATGAAAAATGGGTCCAATTAGAGCCCACTGCTGAACCGAACGACAAGAACAGAGAATGGCAGCCCATTCTCACCGGCCCCCATTTCTTTCCTTCCCCACACACAACTAGACCACCGCCGCCATCGCCGCCGCCGCCGCCATGCTCCGCCTCCGAGGGCGCATCGTTGCCCATCTCCTCTCTTTCTCCTCCACCTCTGCCCCGGCCATCTCCCCTCTCCACCGGCTCCTCTCCGCATCGGCAGCCGCCGGCCCCATTTCTCCGAACCCCGGTGGATTCGCCGTCGAGGACTACCTCGTCGACACCTGCGGCCTCACCCGACCTCAAGCCCTCAAGGCCTCCACCAAGCTCTCCCACCTCAAGTCCCCCGCCAACCCCGACGCCGTCCTCGCCTTCCTCGCCGGCGTCGGCCTCTCCGGCGCCGACGTCGCCCCGGTTGTCGCCAAGGACCCGCAGATCCTATGCGCCAAAGTGGACAAAACCCTGGCTCCGGTGGTCGATGGGCTCACCGGCCTCGGCCTGTCGCGTTCCGACATCGCCAGCCTCATCTTGCTCACCCCCGGCGGCTTCCGCCGTAGAGCCATAGTCTCCAGGCTGCAGTACTACCTGCCCCTCTTCGGCTCATTCGACAACTTACTCCGGCTGCTCAAGCGGGGAGGATCCCACCTTCTGTGGGCGGACCTCGACAAGGTCGTCAAGCCCAATGTTGTGTTCCTGAGGGAGTGCGGGCTAGGTGATTGTGATATTGCCAAGCTGTGTATCCGGGAGCCGAGGATGCTCATCACCAACCCGGAGCGTGTTCGGGCGATGGTCACAGGTGCTGAAAAATTAGGTGTGCCCTGTGGCTCTGGGATGCTCAGGCAAGCGCTGCAGGCTGTCGCGTTTCTCAGCCAGGAGAAGATTGCCGCCAAAGTGGACTACTTGAAGAATACGTTCAGGTGGTCTGATGCCCAAGTGAGCATTGCTGTGTGTAAGTATCCGAATCTGCTGAGGAAGTCGAAGGAATCTCTGAAGCGTAGGTCCGAGTTCCTCTTCTCTGTGGTGAGGTTGGAACCCATGTACATTGCTGATCGATCGGTAATTCTCGGTCTTAGCCTGGAGGGGCGGATCAGGCCCCGTTACTATGTTGTAAAGTTTCTCAAGCAAAGTGGACTGCTAGACCGTGACTGGAGCTTCTGGAGTGCTGTCATGGTGACCGAGAAGGTATTCATGGAGAAGTTCATATGCCCTCACAAGGAAGCTGCACCACACCTCGCCGAAGACTATGCAACTGCTTGCAAAGGGGAGGTGCCGACTAGTATCATATTTAGATGAACCAGGAACAGGCTATGAAAATAGGTTACTCCGTATGTCGCAACAAAGTTTCCACTTGGTAGAGTAAGCTGGCAATTCCTGCTTTGGTGTACTTTGGCTATATGGATATTTATGTCTTAAGTATGCCCGTTACATGCTACTTTGGTCATTGCTAACTCCTTCTGAAATTGGTAATTTGATTCCTGAACCCTGGTGTGCTGATGTTGTCTTTTCTTAGTGAAGATCTCTGAAAATGAGAAGTCCATGGATATATTTGTGTTTCTGACATCATTGGAAGATCGTGGAAACCAGAAAACAAAAGAAATGTATCAGTACTATGGTCTGCTTTCATGCCAAAGTTTATCCATGCATGTTCCATTTTCAGTTGATTATCTTTTAGATTCCATCATACTCCTATGATACTTTGTTTAATATTTAGATTATACTTATAAATAAACTTCTAATGGGTGTTTGTTTGTTTTTTGCTTTCTTTCCCATTTTTCCTAAAGATATATTGTCTTTGTTGCTAAATATCATAGTTGACCTTACTTTAGTTGAGAATTTTCAAATCGGTAATGGCAACCCTGGTGTGCTTTTGGAAGGAAACTTGCTTGGAGCTCTGGCAGCACATGCGACCTAAAAAAGTGCATGCCCCACTGCTAATAATAATCCTGGGAGTGACCAAAACTGTTGCTATTCTGCTATTTTGGCATTGCATTTCTGATTTATATGCTACAGTATTACGGAGTAGCAACGTTTCCGATAGCATGCAGCCTTGAAACATCTTTTATGAATTCTGGAATTGGATGCACACGCGTGGACAAGAGGCATAATTAAAGGAGACGTCCTAACTTTCTTTTCCTAAACCTCATGATCAAAATAGACAAGAACTTTCTGTTCTTAGAAACACAAAACTGAATTTATATACTGGGCCCGCATGATTGTTTTCCCTCGGCAAGGTCACCACAGCTGTTGATGTCTTTTGGGGTGATTATCAAAATCCAATGATTTGCTTTAAAACTTAGCATCTTCTTTTGCTGTAAGATAGGAGTACTATCCAATAAGTAGTAGCGACATTAAGGATCGACGCTATCATGTCTTACCACCGTTATGGAGAAAACAAGGGGTGCAGCTTAGTCGGGCTTACTGTTCAGATGCCCATGAGTTCTCATCTTTTGGTTTTTTTTTTCTATGAGGTGAACCATTTCTTTTTTTTTTCGCGAATACGCAAAGATTGCGTATCATTGCATTGTTAGAAGGAATAGAATGAGTACAGAGGGGGTACATCACATGACACGAACGCAGGCAGGCGTGAACATGGTGCCTAGAGCAGGGAGACAAGGGATGCTCGGCCCGAACAAGGATAGAACACAGCTAGACCTACCAAGCCTGAACCAAAAGCGGCAAAGCCAAACTAGCGAGAATACCAACATCGCGAAAACCAAAAATCGGGGGCACCACGAGCGAGCAAGATAGCGCCTTCAAGTATTGTGTTGAATGAGGTGAACCATTTCAGAAACCGGCATTGTGTTGGTGCACATATATAGTTTCTAACTTGCCGGCAGAACCATTTAACAAGTATCGACAACTTACAAAAGTGAAGGGAGTATCTACATCCACTATCTTGACATATAAACTCAGTTCCTTTTCTATACTGCTCACACAACAGGAGACCTATGATCTGGTGTTATCAGCGTGTTTCTTACAAATAGTTCTGCTTTAGTTTTATTCTGTTGCCGTTAGTAATGCATCTTCAGTCCCTTCCATTTATTTGTTACTTTTGCAAGACTGAATACGAATTCCGACCATTAGTATGTGATATGAAATAACGAAACGGAAAATACGAAAGATTGTGGCAATGCAAATTTATTGAGCGATTGCAGGTCTTAGCAAAGGCGATCAAAACCGAAGGACAAATAAGTTGGGAGGAGAGGAAATGACAGCCAAGGAGGGGAGGCGACAGGCAACCCAAACTCATAGAAATAGAGATAGTGGTGGATCTTGAAGAACTCGAGGATTCTCTCCCTGCTGTCGTCATGCCTCGTCCACCGTCTCCGGTGTCGGGGGCCTATGCGGCACTCCATCTTGGGCATGACTAGG